GCCATCTTGGCGCTACTGCGGGTCGTAGAGGCCGAGGCCCGGGGAGTAAAGAAGTGTTGGATGGGATCGTCTTGGGTCAGTCGCTTTTTACCTCCATCCTTGCCCCGTTTAGCCATGACGATTGCGGGATCCACACGATTTGAAAAGTCCTTGATATAGTGCAAAACGTGGTCGGGTGTCTCGGAGCTCTCTCAATGTGCTCCTCACGCCGCCATGTCCAGGACACGCCCCTCGTGGTTGTTTTCTTGATGTGAATCTGAAATTCAGAGTGCCTGCGAATGGCTAATCTACAAATTTCTTCATTTAAAACAATAACCAAAATATAGATGTACATAACAGAATAGAATATACACCAAGCATTTAAAAATGGGAGAATTATAACAAAATGACTTTATGGTAGCAAAAATGGCACAAGATATACTTACTGCAAAACTATACTTTACTCCGCAAACCCCCCAAACCACCCCCCTTCCTCAGACACTAGTAGATATTGAAATGAAAGTGATTATTTAAACAAAAGTTACATTTTAATTATACCTTATAGCCTTCCATCTTTGTAAGGATTTTTAGATATTAGATGCCAATATTGCCAAATTAATGAATACATCAAAGTAGGGTAAACAGAAATAATATATTGCAATTAAAGAAGGAATTGGTTAATAATCTAAGAATTTTAGTAATCATAGATTTATAGGTAAGAATCCATTCTGTAATAATTTCTTCAGGGATTACTTGTAATATTTGAAATGTTATGTCCACACTATGTAGGGAAGACATATTTTTTAGCTTTATCTGTACATGTTTTTATCAGTTTAGATAAAACATCCTATTTTTTTTTTTTTTAAGTCGAACCTGCTTTTCCTAATCTTATTCAAGTGAAAGGAATTGTTATATAATAGAAGGATTTTTTCAAGAGATACCATAGGCTAGGCAGAGGCAGCCTTGCTCCTTTTGCCCTTTTATCGGTGGTAACATTTTCCTATTGTAAAAAGTCATCACAAATGAAAAGAGAATATAGCATCACGGCAGTCATATTGCCTGTTTAGAGCTTGCAGTGTTCTTTAAAAACTTAATAAAGGTCTCTACTGAGGTTGGATTAAAAGAACCTGTTAAGAAGGCAATTGCTTCCCATGAGATAACCTCTAATGATAAGAAAAAGGGGAAAAAGTGTTATTGCCGCTTTCACATTGTTAAGACAGAAAGGTCTCTGTATCTTTGTCCTACAAATGAATTTTGAGAATAATCTTATACTGCTTGAAGAGATAAAAATCCAGGTACTTCTTGCCTGCCAGCATCTGAAATTTCCACTAAGGATTTGATAAGGGATTAGAAGTTTTCTATTTGTGCGAGCTGCCATAGTGGGAGACAGATGTGATCAGACGTCGGTCGGAAGGTGCTGTAAAGACACGTGATCTCTCAATCACAGGCAACATATTTTTTGCAATAATTTTATTACTATGGAAATTTGCTAAGTCTGGCCATACATTATTTAGGTATTTTCAAGCAGTGCCACAGATAATAAATGTTGCTTTAAATAGAAAGAAACCTGCTACTAAGCTGAAAAAATAATAACCAGCGTGTCAGTTAAAAAAATAAAGTCTTCCATAATCCTGAAAACAAGATAGCTTGGTAAAGTACATTTATTCACCCTGGTATCTGAATTTTCCCCATATGAAAGCCCAGCACTAAATAATGGCAGTCTTCATAAACTGACTAATGAAGAAGCTCTTGGGATGGGGAGGGGGGGTGTTTGGGTGTCTCCTTCCTCTGAGTCATTTAGTAAATAGGAAATATAAATGATCCATATACATTATTTTATATGTACTTTAAACAAATAAAATCTAAATAATAATATAATAAAGAAAATCTGTTTTAACATATTCACATAGTAGTTTATTCAGCTCAACTTGTTTCGCTGAATCCTCTGATGGCTGTTATTTTTTGAAGGAGGTGGTACAATAAACTCAGAAGGCCAGAGCATTCTTTATTTTGTACCGATCTGCAGCCAAGTTTCTGTGCAATAATGACAATCTACGATCTCTCTAGTGTGTTCATGGTGTCACACCAGGCCTTTTCATGGCCTTGTGGTAGGTAGAGTGCCCTCTGTTTAAGATATCTAAGCTTCAAAATGGGTCTACTGAGCTAAATGGAACAGTGCCACTGCATAGTAGAAATTCTTCCCTCGGACACTGGACCTGATTTATTGTAAAAAAGAAAAGTGTTCAGTTGACTGCTGAATACATAGTTAAAAAAACTGTGAACTATGTTATCTACCGATAGGTTGTAATTCTGTTTTGCCATTTCTGTGATTGTTGCACACTAGCATAAAGCATGGCTAAGTCAGTAACCTCACTTTTCTTCTTTGCAGTGAAATTGAATTTTTAGCTTTTTATAGATTTTTTTTTATGGTCAGGAGAAAAATAATGGTATGTATCATATAATCAGGTCAGTATCATTAGCACATCAATATATTCATGTTACATTAGCTTAATAATGTACAGTGTGTCACCAGGTGAGCAGAGTATAGTATATTGGCCAACATTGTGAAAAAATGTGTGTCAAAATACAAATGGAGCTCACTCCTAATAAATGTAAATATATTAAAAACTCTTTAATGTATATTAAGACTAATGCCCAATCAAACTGTGAAGTGAATGTCTCAATAAAGCTACAACTGCCAATATAATCACTCAGTGAAAAACAAGTAATCAAACCATTGAAATTATAACATGTGTATTTAAGATTATATAAAAGCAGAAGAGAAGCCTCTGTGTTTGTTTGTTACAAATGTTCACCGCTCTTCAACAAAGTCCTATTGACGAAATGCATCGAGAGGCGCAGCTAGACTAAGCACACTGTCTGGATCCTCTGGTAGTCTGCACTGAGAGTGAGTCATCTTGTTTACCCAGTGGGGTAAAAATTTGCATATGCGTTATGAAACTGGTGTGGGTATGCAGCACATATAGAAATTATTGTATTTGTTTTCATGTTCAACAAATGTTTTAAGACAATTTTACACTGTTGGAGTTATTTTGTACTGTTGGCATGATTGAGAGAGGAAGATGAGAAACCTCTGAGATTGGAACTGAGGATTAATACAAACAAGCTGCGCTATAACTTTCTGTAATAAAGAGGTAATTTTGCTTTGGTGAGTTATCTGTGTGAGCCCTAACACCCCATGCATACAGATAATGTTTTTGGATCACATTGCGGTGAAGAATCATGCTAATTTACAAGAATATACAGTCTTTCTGCTTAACAGCAGTGAAGCTTTATAAGGAAACATAGAGACTTTGATTTCTTGGACTTCTATATCATCCTATTTGCACATATAATATACTGTATTTGATTTGGTTACTTGTTTTTTTCACTGATTAAATTTAATGGTTGTTGCTTTATTAACAAAGTCACTTTACAGATCGATTGAACACTATTGTATCTTCTATACTGGCCAGCATTATTTTATCAGTATCTATGAAAATATGGCTGAAGGCTCAGATCTGGTTGTTGTTCAGAAGAAAAATGGAGTAATGAGTATACAGAAAATATAAGAGAGGGAAGGCAGGAGAGCCCTTCTGGTTTAGTATTTAAAAAACAAATTATGAACAGAATTATTCTTAAAGGATTGTAGTAAAGTTACTCACATTGAAGGAGATTGCAGGTGACCATATAGATGGTGTGCACAACCTAAAAAAAGCACTGGTGGAGAATAAGCAGGTCTTTAGGTAGACTCTTCTTCAAGCTCTGGGGAAACCCAATCCTATAACTTCTCCAGGATCTTAAAGATGGTCACTTAATGTGAATAAGTACAAAACTGCCTAGCAGGTGCCCCTGTGGTTACAGATGCTTTAGAGAGAATAATCAATCCAAAGGGGTAGTAGCTTTATTAGAGTATTTATCTTTTTCGAAAAAGGTGTGGCACAATCTTTATGACAAATAAAATTATACAAAAGAAAAGAGAGGATGAATATCAACAAAAATAATATATGCATATTGCAAATAAATAAAAACGGTTGCAAACAAAGAAAAAGCATGTTGGTAACTATTATCAGTGTATATAAAAAAAGTTGGTCTATTCAAATGTATCTTAAAAGTAACATTGACATTGGTTGGTATTGTATCATCATATAAATACATATTATATATTTTTTCTAATATATTGGTATAAAAGTATAGTTTTCTATAAAAATGTGAAAATCATAAACAGATACAGTCTATGCCATCTAAAAATTGTACAGATATAAATGACAAAGACCATAACAAGTCTCTAAAAAATATATATACAGTATATGAGGTATGTTAAGCATATACAAAATTAAGGTAGCTAGGTATAGCATGATCATGCATAATTTGAGAGAATTAGGCTTATAATACACATAATAAACAAGGGGAATAACACTACCAAAAGGTACAAACATTATCATTGGAAATCCATGTATAAAAAAGGTATGTATAGAAATAAGCAGATGCTACATCAAAAGGAAAGTTTTTAGTAGTTCACATTTGTTGTAGAGTCCAGATGTATAAAACACTTTGGGTGAATGTCAGGAAAAAAATGGTCTTGGGAAGAGAAGATCGGGCGTCTTCTTTGTACTTAGTGCTGTTAATGGAGATTGCTGAGCGCTCAGCAGCATGCAAGAATGTGGGCTGGCTGTGTAGGAGTAGGCTTTAAGCACAGCGGAGAGAATTTATCAAAAGTGTAGCAGACAAAATCTGGAGCAGTTGTGCACAGTAACCAATCAGCTGCTTTCTTCAGTTTAGTCAGTTAAGATTTAGAAATGAAAGAGAGAGGCTGATTGGTTGCCATGTACAGCTTCTCCAGATTTTGTCTGTTCCACTTTTGATAAATTCCCCTCAGTGTGCGTTCTAGCAGGCCTGATTTTTTTTTCTATATGATTGTTTATGTATAAATACAAGTCACCTGACAAAGATTCTCTCTAGCAGTAAAAGGTATTGATCATGTTATGTGTTTTAATTTATAGCCTATCATAAAATTTGGTTGGAGAAAAAACTTGAAAGATATGGCACTCACCCTGGTTCATGATCTACCCTCTGTGCTTGAAGAGGTGATGGCTAGTGTCCTGCAGAGAGATGCAGAGGAGTTCCTGGCCACTAACGGATGTAACATGAGCCCTGTAAACATCCCTGAACCATATGAGCACTATGGAGCCATTGCAAAACAACTGAGGCCTGTGAAAGTTGCCAAGGCAAGTGTCAAAAATGTTGACTGTAATAAGTTCAGAATTTATTGCAGTTTGTGTTGTGTGATTCTGAAGGCTGTAATTGTATTTAACATCTGTAAAGTGTATCTAAACCCTAAACTTTTCTTTTACGTTTTTGATGGTTTATGGAAGGATTTTTACCCCTGCCAGGTCTCTATCTGTGTCTCTGCCAGGAAAATGCACTCTCTCTGTTTGTCGTAGTGACCCCTGTCACTAAAAGTGAGGGAAAATGCACTCTGTCGAGAAACATTCTCTATGGCTGTTTTTTGGTCAGGTCTTGTGTGTTACCAGCCCACTCAAAATGAATGCTCTGCCTTCATTCAAGAAACCCAATGAGACAACACGTGTTACCGTTTTAACTATATCCTACTATATCCAAAATTTAAAAAAAAGTTTGGGCTTTAGATATACTTTAAGGGCCCAATTGTTGTGTTGTGTCTTGCGGCAACATGTGTTATGTTAAAGCAGAACTTGATTCACCAATTTAACGATCTCCTAAAACAGTTACTTTGAAGGCATGTCACCTGTCAAGGTGACCAGGGTGCTTTTTTCAGCGCTCAATTGAGCGTTCAAGCCCTTAGATGGTTGCTTTCATGGCTGATTAGATGTGCAGTAGTACTATGGCAACTGCAATCCCTATAGAGGCTAAGATGGCACCTTCCATGGCTGTAAAGTATAAGAGGTTTTGGTTCCACTTTAGGGCGGCCTCTTCAATTTGACCAAACAAAGCACATGCATAATTTTTTCTATTGCAATAATGCGTTGTGGTGTGTTGCCTTTGTGTGCTCGGGTTATCACATTGCACCATGTCACAAATACATTAAAAAGGGAAATGGTCAAACTGTCTTGCTGAAATTTACACTGTAGTTATTTGCTTGACAAGAATATACACTTTTAAAGGCTCACAGTAAACATTTTATTTTTAAGTCAATTATTTAACAAAAAACCTATTGTAAACATTTAAATAACTAAAACATTTAACGGAAAACTATATTTATATGTTTATGTATTTATGAAAGCACTCATGCCTTAGGCTACATAGATGTTGTGTTAGATCATTTGATCACATTTTAAAACCTGAATATAAAAGCTCATATGACAATACAGTAAAGCAAATATTGCATTACAATTGGATTCACGTGTATTTTTTCAGGTAGTATTTTAGAGAATTTAACCCCTTCATGACTGGTCTGTTTAAACAGCCCCGATGCTGGCGACGTACACTGTACGTCGTCAGTCACGAAGGGGTTAAATAACTCCAGAGATTTGGTAACTTTGTTTTTTCTATCCAGAATGGCCTTACAGTGTGTGTATAGTATACTAATAGAGTATATGTTCCTTGTTTGGGGACATGCTAAATATTCTCTGTACAGAGCTAAGGTACAGCTAAAAATGAGTTGCTAAGTTACCCCATATTTATAAAAGCTGCTAGTAGTAAACATCAAGTATTTATCTCATTCTGTTTCAGTTGTTTATTGCTAGAATATTTACTTACCACGAGTATCCTCAATGGATAGTTTTACTGTGCTCTTTTCCTTTGTTAAAGTGAACCTGTCATTTTTCTATACTTTAAAAGAAACAGGTTTGCTTAACAGAGAGCATTGTCAGAAGCATCAACTTACTTTCAGCTGTTAGAGCCCCCAAAGGTTTGTGTAAATTCTGACTTACTTGAATCTCACACATGCTATGCAGGCTTCCCGTACTCTGACAAGAATGCACTTGGACTTAGTGATGGCTGCTTAGACACTGCAATGTTGGAAAGCAAAGGAAGTGTGTCAGGAGGTCTATACAATCAGCATATACAACTAAGGGATGCACTGAAGTGTTTTTAGGCTGAAACCAAAATAAACCCCCCCCCTTAAAGTTTGAGGACACAGATTCCTCAACCTTACTTTCTGTTGCCCCTGTTATGAATGAACAGGAACCGTCTATACCTAGTGCTCCTGTCCATTCATAAACTGTGGAGATAGTATCAGTTACTATGTCCACAATCATGAATAAACAGGAAGTGATGTAGAACATGTCCTGTGTATCCATAACTGGGGACACCGTAAGCATACTACAATATGTCCTCAGGTATTTACAAACACTCAGCGATCAGTCCTGATGCTGGAGTGTTTGGACTCTGCTCTCCATCCTGTTGCACTTGTCCCAAAAGGCCGAGCGGGGCAGTGCGAGAGGAGATCTCGGCCTTCATGTGACAGCTGTCTCCTCCCCACACTGCCTCCTGACAGTTTCTCCTCTGCCCGCTGGGCACCGGTCGGTGTCCCCTCTGATCCCCGCTGCCTCTTGCTGACACAGGTGGGGTAGAGCAGTGGGGATCGGGGAGGGCACAGACCAGCGCCCAGCGGGGATGAGAGAAACTAGGGGTGCACTGAATTTTTGGCCGCATTTTCGGCTATTTTGTTATTATTGGCATTTTGCCCATAGAAACATTTTTGGAATAAATGTTTTGGCGGAGAAGATTTCAGTGCATCCCTACTGTATACTATACAATACTGCTAAGTATATATAATCATATACTTAGCACTATCAAAGGCGAATCAGGGAAAGCAATTTATCTGTGAATGTTTATCCTGTGAATGTAAACTGAAGATGGCTCTATATGTTTATATTTTGTAGATGATGTATTGTTTGGTATTATAAAAAAATGTTATTCGACAAAACTCCATTGGCCTAATTTCTTTCACTTTGAACTTTACAGGAGTATGGAGCACCTTTTCTCTGGTTCTCCGGCGTCCCTTATGCAATTAAATAGACATTATAAAAATATATTATTTCCCAAGAATCCTTTGTACAAACAAGGGATACATCAGGTGTCTCCAATTGGAACTGGTTTGCAAAAAAAAGATACAACTAGAAGGATAATTAGAATATTGCTTATGTGTATAGTAATGAGACTAGTAGTGTGATAGGCAACCAGTAAATCACCAGGTACTATAGAAATATAACACACAACATGTCCCTTGCAAGTCAAAGTGTGCATATCATCTGGTAGGGACATGTAAAAAGCTGATGTGGCTTGCAGCTGAGCGGTATTTGAAAGTCTGCATATTACTAATTTATGACATCATGATCATAATACAGGCAAAAATAATTTTGATTAACCCGTTATACTTTTCTTCCATCAGTTTTGCTTTGACATCACAGAAGAATATGACCTGCTATTCCCACTAGCAACGGCATGCAGAGGTGATTTACTACAAAACGTAAGGACCTGCTTCATAGAAGCGTTCAGTAAGGCAGTAATGCCACTTCTGAGTCGGCTGCAAGAATGGAGCATACAGGTTCCAGACAAAGCTCCCTTAAGCACTGCACTTGTTTGCCTGTCCTCAGCCCTTCATGTGCTTCATCACCTTAATCACTACAATGAGCAACTAAGTAAAAAGTAAGTACACCTCTTTTGTGTCTGGAACTTTGCTTAGATATGTATTCTGTGTATGCTGGTAGGGCTGATTGTATAGACATCCTGAATCCTTGTAAGCATTGGGAAAGCATACCTGACAATTGGGTGAATGCTGCAGAAACAGATCAGTGATGCCACTGTGAAAAAAGCTGGGCTGACCAGTAGAGCTGAAAATGTTTAAAACATTAGAGCATCTTCTTAAACAATAAAAACCAGGGATGCATTTGTGGTTATTATTAATAATAATAATACTAATAATATTATAATAATAATCATCAGTGCATAAAGTACAGGACTGTCCTTCTTAAAGGAGAATTATGAGGTGAGTGCTTTTCACTCACCTCATAGTTCTAGCCGACCTGTGACAATGAGACTGTCACAGGTCGGCTCAGTAGATCGGGAGGTGAGCGAACACATACAGGCGTTCGATCACCTCTCGATCCTGTCACGGCTCTCTGCCGTGACAGGGAAGGGGCTGGATTCCCCCCTCCCCACGCCGATCCGCCAGCGCTGACTGGCGGAACGGACGGGGAGGGGGCGGGTATAGCTGGCTCTGCCTCTAGATAGGCAGAGCCAGCTTTCAGTCACGCAGCTGGGCGGATCCCGGCATAATTGTCGGGATCCGCTTCAGCTACGGCGTTTCAGTATACCGGGAGCAGTAGCGAGCAGTATACTGCGGCGTCTCAGTATACCGCGAGCTACAGCTCGCGGTATACTGAGCCTAGGGTGACGGGAGGACGCTAGTTTGTGTCCTCCCGTTACCCTAAGGAGAACTATGGGGAAAAGCCTTAACCCCATAGTTCTCCTTTAACTCCATAATTTTGCCATTTCATTGGTTCCATTGGTACATACAAATGCTCTTCTTTCCCTCCCTGTTTATTTCTGTCATGACTTTTACCATCAGAGTGTAGAGCAAGTTAAGATGCCTTCTTCATGAAAGGAGTGACTAGGGTCACATTTTAGTGCCTGTGCTGGCAGTCTTTGGATTTGTATCAATGGCATCCGTTTGCACTTTTTAGATCATTCAGAAATCATTGACAAGTGCACTTGACTGGCAGGTCACCTCCTTCAGGCCTGCATTTGATCTGCTTCAAGTGGGTTTTGCAATCCCACTTGTATAGGAATGCAAAGCCCTTTTGGGGTGAAGAAAATCCCCCCAAGGTAGATAAAGCCGTATGCATTACTGCATGGTGCAGATGTCATGCTTGTGAGGAGTGCTGTCTTCTCCATGGTTTGAGAAAGTTCTTATTGGTGCACCTTTTAATGATACAAATAAGCTCCATATTTATTTCTGTAAAGCTAACCATAAATAGGAGATGAATATTGGCCTATTACAACTGGGTTACGTGGCAATCTCATAGTAGTTCCAGATATCTCTGCCTGACATGTCTTCTGGGAAACAGCAGTTATTTGTGTTAAAAAATTTGCTGGCATTGGAAATGTTTTGCCGTGACTCCTTCACTGGCCTCCATAGCATATGTATACTGTATACATTCTGGCGATCCAAGCAAACATGTTTATGGTCTTTTGCATTCTGACTCTCACTGCCTCACTAACCACATGCTAATGTGTAAAGCAAACCTAAGGAAGATCTCATGTCTAGTCCTGTCCTTTATTTATTTATTTTTTTATTATGTTATTTATTTATCCTGTTGTGTGGTAGATGTACCTTTTGATGTAGTCCATTTTTGTAAAACAGAATTCCACCCCAATGACTAATACATTGTCAAAAGATAGACCCTATAAGTGAACCTTCTGATTTTCCAAAATTTTGGCAATTCTGTTAAATTGACAGTAAACTCAGGAGTTCAATCTTAAAAATGCATTCAAGTACTTTTAACTATGAGCACAAATGTAGCTTATTTATGTATCACTCAGCTGTAGATCCTCAAATCATCTCTGGATTCATGTTGACGCTGTCCTTCCTTCTAGAGGGTGGCTACTTTGGTTCCCCATGTGTATGTTGGAAGCTCTCTCCTGTGATGGACTACAATCACATGTTTAGTTTACTAATTTGTATTTCGATTGTAGCCCTTCTCAGGAGCGAGCTTGGAGCGGTGGCTACTTTTTAACACACAAAGAAACCATGGGTAGCAAAAGTAGCCACCCTCCAGGGTAAGACAATGTTATCATGAATTCAGAGATGATTTGTGGTTCTACAGCTGAGGGATACACAAATAAGCTACATTTTTGTTAATAGTTTGGGTACCTGAAAGCATTTTTAGGATTTAACTTCTGAGTTTAGTGTCGCTTTAAGTCTGTATCTATTCAAGTCTGTATCTATTCACATACCCATCCACACTGTATAGGTAGGATATTGACACTAGTATTCAATCTCTCCTCATGTAAGATCCCTAAACACTCCTCATCCTGGCCCCCAGTACCTGAAAATGTATTAGATTAGTAGAAATGGCTGATCACCTACTATTTTCAGATTGCTATCTTCTTTACAGGTGATTATGAGAAGACAAAACTGTATAAATTCCAACAACTTATTCAGAAGTATTTTAAATACAGTGCCTCTCCAGCCATTTTTGTTTTTTTATAAACTGAGGAGTTACAATTACTGCTAGGTTTTTACTGCTGACTGGGGCTCCATTAGGGAGATCCCCCTTACTCCCTGTACCGGTGGCAATGTTATAAGGAGAAATCTCTAACAGGAACACAGGGTCTTTGTCACCTTTTGGATATTTTTTTTCACTGTCTTCGATACAGCGTTGTCACCGGGGCAAGAAATGAGGGGAAATCTCCTTGCCTCAGACAGCAGTAAAACTTTGGAGGTAACAATATTTCCCCTACTAACTAAGATGAGAAAAATGGCTGCTATTACACTTTAAATGAGTGCATGAATTATGTTTTTTTAAGCATTTTTTTTTTGTTTAATATGTTTTTATTGTTTCACAGTAATACATTTACATATTTATATACGGAAAGAAAAATATAAAATTGCATCTTATTGCATGGATAGCATAAATAACTTTCCTTAGTAACCAAGAACTTTTCCGTTACTTTGTACTACATTCCAATCAATACATAAATATAATAGAAAATTATCTCTCCACCACATTCACCTCACACTTTCAATCATACTACCCATTCTTCCTTGGAGGGAGGGGGAACAAATACTATGTGAATTTGTGCAAAACTTCTTTAGTGTTACTCTCAAACCTTCCTAAAACCCCTCTCTTTCACTCTTGTATTATGTTCCTCACTCTAAGCTTATGTTTACAAATTAACCAACTTAAGTGTCTATAATACAATAACTACTACGTTTATATTGTGTACCTTTATTCCCTTTCCCACCCTCTCTCACCCCTCTATGCTTCTATTCTATAATTGTGTCTCCATTCTCTAGTGCATTTGTTATTCCTCTTACCTTAGATATTGTAACATACCTTGTGTTATTACCCTTCCCCGCCTTATCTCTCTAATCTCCCTAAGTGTTGTCCCTACCCCCCAAACCTTTCAATAACCTCCATACTCTCTGTCAGTCTACCTTTCTTACAGGTCAAATGCTTTAGATTCTGTCTTCATATCCTACATCCACTATTTATGTACCTCTGTGGGGATTGTCTATATCCTGGATTTCTAACTGTCTGTATATTTCCCACCTCTCCCATATCTTATCGTACTTATCTTTCCTGTCTGAGTCCATTGCGTTCAGTTCTTCCATGTATCTTATCTCTTCCATTATGTTCCCCCAACTCTCCAATGAAGGTGGATCCGCAGATTTCCAGCTACGTGATATACATACTCTGCAGCCAGTACAAATCTTAATATATCCTCCTTTATCTTTTTTAGAGGGCCAGGAATCAACGATAGTAGCGCTATTAGTGGGTCTTTTTCTATACTCGAGGCCTCCACAATACGGTATGCCTCGAATACTGATTCCCAGAATGGCTGTATTCTAGGACAGCTCCACCATATATGCAAGTACGTTCCCTCCTCCGTACTGCATCTCCAGCATCTATCGGACTTTCCTGAGATTATACGGTTAATTCCTTCTGGACATCTATACCATCAGGACAACATTTTATAGTTTTTTTTCTTGATAAAATGAAGAGGTGATGGAGTAGTGTACCATTGTAAATATTCTTCCCCACTCCTCCTTTGGTAAGTCTCTCCTCAGGTCTTGTTCCCACCTCTTCATGTATTTCGTATGTCCTTTGGCTTCCTCCTCCCCCAACAGACCATAAACCACCGATGGAGCATGTGCAGTGGGTACATCCCGTACACATAATTTCTCGAACGGTGTATAAGGTCTATTCAGGGAGTTGCCAGCCCTAAGATATCTTACATAATCTGACACCTGTACTGACTCCATCCATAATTTCCATAATTTCCCAGTTGTTTGCCTCTCTGGTCTCAATTCTTTTTTCATTTCTTCCTTTCCCTTCTCTAAGACCTGCCACATCTGTATAGAGGAGGTGCTCACGATATTTAAGAGGGTTCCCACCTCCATACTTGGTGTAAATTGTGGGTTTCCCATTATAGGAGTCAGTGGGCCCGGTCTAGAAGATAGGTTATATTTATCTATAATTCTATCCCATACTCGTAGTACTGATTTTACCAGAAAGGGCAGGGTAGAACTATGTGGTCTATAATATTTTGGCAGCCATGGGATATTCCTTAAAGGTATTTGTGTGATATCAGCCTCTAATTTTACTGTCCCTTTGTTTTGGCTGTTATGTATCCAGTCAAGTATTCTTGATAATATAACGGCTTTATGGTATAATGCAAAGTCCGGCATGCCCAGTACTCTCTTTGTTTATATCTCATTAATACTTTAACACTAATCCGTGGTGTTTTATTAGCCCATTCGAATTTTTGACAGGCAGGCTCACAGCTACGGCCACATTGCGGGCTCAGCAACTTCAAAGTCAGCAGCAGGGGGGCGGGGCTGACAATACAGCTACATCCAGATCTCTACAGACAGCAGCCGCTGGAGCTGCTCATATACTAGCACCAGCACTGGAGCCACT